GGTTCTTTGGCTCAAACCCTACGTCTTAATTGCTTACACAGCTCCTACTGATCCGACGGTCTGGTTGCAAATAGAGTTATCTTTAACCTACTCTGGTAAAACTAAATATTTGCTTTTGATCCAATAGTTCAATCAGCATCATACCAAACAGTTGAAATCTTCCGCAAACGGATTTAACCAGTTAATCACGAAACCGAGCACAAAGGGGCACTGGGAGGGTTGAACTGGGTTTTGCTTTGTATGGAAAGCTGGGTTAGCCCATTCCATAACTTCTCTCCAGGACCTAAATCCCCTGCTCTGGGCAGTCATGAACCACGTATCTCCAACTGAGACTTAAACCTTTGAATCCTGTATGGGAGTTAAAGCTGGCGGGGACATTTTATTACAACCTTATTACAATCTGTTTGTTTATAAAATAAATGATATCAAACAGAGAGAGAGCAGTCCTTCCTTCTCCTCTAATGACAGCAGCGGGGTACACGAGAAGTTCCACGGAGTTCAAGGGTGTAAAACCCAAAGAGAGGCACTGCCTGTCACATTTAGAAGTGCTATTTATCAGTATATAAGCAAATACAGAATACAAGAGGAGTAAACACTTAGAAGATATAGGTACACATTCAAAATAAACAAGAAGCTCAAGTTTCTTTCATTACCAGTATTTTAAGACTGGCTTTGCTTCTGTTTAATTTAACAGAAATGTACCACTCTGTTCTAAAAGAACACTCCCGATCCTCTATTTTTAAATGGGATGAATTCAGGTACCTTTTCTATCGGAAGGAAAAAATCAGCCTCAAGTGGTACGTAATGCTTCCCTAAACAAAAATTGACTTGCTCTTCCATAATGACCAAGTGTAACTACATGGTAACAGTGTGCAATGTTGCTTACGTCTCATATAAATAAGACATTATTTGTAAATCATTTCAAAGATAAAATCAGGAGAGATAATAGACATACCCGACACCACAGAATAATCTGCTGGGATAATGCATCAAAAGTAAAACATTTCATCAGATACCAGATGCCTTAAATGGACAGCAAAATTTAAATATGAAAAGTATTTTGAAGTATAGCGAGACACTGTGGAGAAATCTCCATTTGAAGACATTTCTGCATTTTAAGGGCCTTTTAATTTGACACCGTAATCCATTTCATACTCATAGTATTGTCATTCCGTTCCTGTTTCTGCTACGTTTTAAACACCAAATTCAAGAGGTATGAAATGCAGGTGCTACTTTACCAGGATTACACCCTTTTTAAAGAAGAAGTGATTTTCTCAGGATGAAGCTATTACCTGAGAGAGCTCAATAAGGAACTCACAGAAGCTTCTCGCCACTTCCTAGTTTCTTCCATGATAAATAAAGTCACTTTATAAATGAGAATTTCTGCATTATGGATTGCAAATGCTGAAAGGTAAAGCTACAAAAGCAACTGTATTATTTATAACCATAGATAGACATAACAGAGGCCACGAGAAATAAAACAGACACACTAAGCAATGCTTAATGTTTAATCTCTAAATTTATATTTAGTCGAGTAATTAGACCTGCTCAAATATATGAAACACTTGTAATGCCTGTTGATCAATGCTTAAAAGGATTACTTCAATGCAAAGACTCACTAAAATGATTAAACTAAGTTTTATTTGATGCCTGGTGCTTTCAGGGATTCTGTAATTAAATAACTGCTGCATACTGGCACAAGCCTATTGATTTAATAGAGGTATCTTGATTTATGTTAACTTAGTATGCTGCGCATTGTCAGTTATGGGTGCTGACAGCTATATGACACGATATTCAAACATGATTTTGCTATAAACTGGAAACTTTGCTAAAAAACATTAGGAAACATTGAGGGTGCATGAGAGGCTGAGGCATGAATAAAGACAGTAATTCACCAGTTGAATCAAATAGTTTGTTTTATATTTAAATTCTGCTTTTGTGATACTGCAAAACCAAAAGTATAGATACCTGTAATTAACTTCTGTGGTCTGTAATTTTTTCCCTTCAGGAGACCAGCAGTTGGAATGTTACAAAGGTATTATGACAAAATTCATCACAATGAAGCAATGCACAGTTAAGAACCAAACTTTGGAATCTCACATCATGGGTAATGTAGAGATTAAAAATCAAAACTGGTCGAGAGATGTGACCCTTTCACTTGCAGAACGCCACTTTAAATCCAGGCCTAATGGCCATGGAAATGGCATTTTCTGGAGCTGGCCAGAAACTTTCACTTTAGGGGAAATAATTTCTTTTTTTGATAAAATGAGTTTCTTATGGAACTGAATAGGTGGTCTTCTGTTGGCACTAAATCTGTGGTCTTTCGTTTAGGAAACACTGAAATGAAATATGGTTTCAGAATTTGTCAAAGTTTGTTAGCAAAATAAATCAATTTTTTGTCAATTTTGCCGCTTCCACTGGCTGACAAGAATGGCATCGTTCTCAGCTATAACTGCCACTGCTCATAATGTCCTTGCCTTTATGACCAGAGAATTCTAGAGATTTGGGAAATTTTAATTCACTGCTGCTAAGCTGGGCTTAGTACTAGAGACTGAAGGCTAGAGTCTGGAATCCTAGAGTCTGGAGCGCTTTTCAGATCCTGCATCAAGGAGACAGGATTGTAAGGAGCTTCAGCTTTAGGAGCTTCCTGGCCCACAACACTTCGGTCTCTGGTAACCGTCATCTTCAGGCCATCTTCTGAAAACCTGGACTGCTAGGGAATGGCTCACAGCTGGGGTTCTGGGCTCCATAAAAGCTTGCAAGAAATGTGACAGTGTTTCATTGGAACTTTCCACTTCTGCAAAATTTATAGCTTTTGACAAAACAGCACTTTCAGTGATTTTTAGAAAAGATGTTTGGGTGGAAACTTACCAGTCAGCTGTACTTACTCGGCGGGTCTTTGGATCATCACTCTTTCTTCCCTGACCTCAGCTTTGCTAGAGCTGTCAAAATGCTTGGTTTACAAAACAGCTTCTCATAAACTGTCTAGTGTTTCATAAATTTGTGAATGATGGTGATAGTAGCGCATACGCTTATTAGGGAGAATATATTTAGTTTAATATAACATACGAAGGGTGTCGCAGCTGAATGCTATAAACGCAAAAAGGATAACTAATTTTAACTCTGAAATTTTTGGAAACATTGGCTTTTGTTTCTGAAATGGGTGTAAATTTTAGGAAAGGATCTATAATTAGATATTGGGTCCGTATTATGCAGACAAATATTTGTTACGGGGGGGGGGGGAATGTTGCCAGCATTTACTGCCATGCAGATAAACTACATGTGAGTACTGCTTTGAGCAGAGACTCTGTCTGAAAGAAGAGGCTAATCTTTCCTATCTCAGAAATCAAAACCACACCTGAGAACCAACGATACGCTAAATAAGGTGGTAACCATTCAATTAAGAAATGACAGACTTGCAGGAAATACATTACCGCTCTAAATCTGCCAGTATTCCATTTATTCTTTCAATTAAAAAAAAGGGGGGGGAGGCAGTGGCAATGACCACACACACACAGGTAAAAGTGCCTACTTCTGTTTAACAACAGTTACGCAAATTTTTGATTCCTTTTCTCCTTGGAGGCTATAAATTTTGTTTCTGTTTTTTTAAAGATGCTCTATTATCGAACGCAATCAGGAAAAGGCTTTTGTTAAAAACACTGCTATCTGTATATTCTCTTGCGGAACGCGGCTGTTGCAAGTGTACCTGTTAGATGGAAGGTTAAAGCAATTTGTGTTGAAAATAGGAACATATATACAGAAAAAATCCCCCAAAGATGTGCTACAGGCAGGGGATTTTATACAATTATTTCCTTCCTGTCACATTAGTTAAAATTCATCTGCAATTACTACAACCTAAGGCAATATAATCAAGTTTTTAGCCATCGGTTTTTTATTTACATCTGTTTCAATTTCCAGTCTACCTGGCAAGATCTACCTGGCACTTGAGAACTGTGTCCTTTCCTATCACAAGCTTTGCTTGTCAAATCAATCCCAATTCTCTCTTCAAAAGCGGTTTATCATCAGGGACTTACTAGAAAATTTCTCTGGATGGGAAATGAGAAGGAATTCCATTTGCTCTCCTTTCTCTGAACTGCTGCTACCTGTGCAAGGCTGACAAAACCAAAACGTCTTCTGCCATCAAAACACTGGTACGTATGCATATATTAGTTATAAGCTAATCGTTTCTACATGTTTTTCAAGGGCTCTCACATTGACATTTATTTTAAATCAAAACTTGCCCTATTCTAGATTGTCTCAAACTTCAAAGAGGCAACAAACCCAAAAAGGATGAGAGCATTTTTAGAGAAAAATTAGAGAAGAAATGATTCATTCCAAAGAAAACAAAACCCACGTATGTTTAACAAATTCTCCACCTTCCCTATACTGACAACCTGTGTACCATTACATTGATTTATCCTGGAAAACAGATGAGTGCAGATAACATACATTTGACTTTCAGGATGCAAGGTCGCTTTGATTCCATTAACTAATCTTAATGTATGAGTGATTCATTTGCCCACAAGTGTAACAGTTAGAACAGATGCAGCTAAATTGATTGACTGTTACTTCATAATTGCTGTCTCCACAGCGGCATAAGCATCATTCTCAACCAGAAGCTATGGGCTCGATGTAAAAATTACTGGGTGAACTGGTCTGTGTTATTCAGGAGCAAAATGTGATGAGTAAGATTTTTTTCTGGCTTAAAAACAGGCAGATGAGCCAGTAACAAAAAGCTGAAGATAAAAATTCTAAATACAAAAAACTATTAGTGTGCATTTATATCACATGTGTGCTGAAAGAGAGTCTTTAGTCAAAAATCCTTTGCTGCTATAAATTAACTAACTTAAGTACAGAAATAAAATGACTGGAACTGATTTAACAACAGGAAATACAAAGCCATTTGGGACGGGCAGATGTTTCTTTAATTGTGCCAGTACTTTGCAGAGCCGTTCTGGCCGTTTGACGCTCGAGGATAATTAAATTCAAAAGCACCGTACCTTCCGAAGAGGTTTGAGCTTGGTCTCCATTATAAAGTCGTACTTGCAGAGTTCACAACAGCGCGTGTCTGAGCTCTTAATCCACTGGTGCAGGCAGGCCTGATGAACAAAGCGCAGGGTCCCCGTGCAGCGACACGGTGTGATGAGGGGACTTTCATCATCTCCCTCACAGTGACAGATCCTGACGGGAAGGACAGCAAGAGCTAGTGAGGGAACTTGCCGACCAGCAATGCAAAGGCACTGGTTTATTTTCACTGCTTTTTCATTTTCAGACTTGACATTCATAAGACACCAGGTATATGACCTTTCAGATTGAGGCTCAGGAACACACTCCTCGTTCCCTTCTGCCTCTTAGTAATTTCTCTTCACTTAGTTATTTCTGTTTGAATTTGCTACGTGGTCTGAAGGTGAATCGATAGAAAGAACACTGTTTTTCCCTTTTATGCATGGCAAAACCTTTAAGACAAACACCAGTGCTCTTTCTAAGAGCTGAATAATTCTTGGTCTGTAAGTAATGACAATAATACTCAAAAATGCTCAAAGTTAGCAGAATCTAACCCAAGCTGAAAATAACCAGTATGAAAAGTACCAAAAAGTTCCTAGGGTACCTCTTGGGAGTTACACAGATAAAAGGATTAGAGAACGGTTGTGAGTACTCTGGAGTCACGCCTATGGCACAGCGTATACACACATGCACACACTTTTTAGGAGGCAAGTGTTAAAAAGTCACGGTCCTTCCTCTTTTTCATTCTTCACTGTCCCTTTGAAGCAGATAGCTGCATTATCTGGGAAAACAAAAACTACAGCTATAAGCAGACCCTAAGATAGAGGCTGGTCCCAGAACTGTTGTTACCTTGTAATGGGATACAGAGTTTTTCATGTTGCGGTTTTGCATAAAGTGATCGGTGTCCTAACATCACAATCTGATGGTTTTCTTCTGGGACACATGTCCAAATGTCTTGGTGATCTTCCCCTCTTTCCAAACAGACTCCTGATCATATCAGGAAAACAGTCACCCATCAAAACCAATGACAGCTTTATTGGCACACATCCTTCTGAAGACAGAGAAAGCTCTATGGTGAGCAGAAGGGTTAACCAAACACCTGAAGTTAAGGAGGTTCACCTCAAAGAAGAGTAACTCCCTCCCATTGCCACCCCAGAAAAACACAACAAAGCACTCAAGCCCTAATGAATTTCCTAAGTGTCAAACGGGCACGTAAGGGTAAAAAAGAAAAAGAAAAAAAAAAAAGCTGAAGCCTGAGAAATGTTATTTCAAAATAGAGAAGTGGCAACAACAGCACAGATCTGGGTGTCACGCGAATGAAACTTGGAGCTTAGAAGCTTAGTACTTAGGAAAGGCATCCTCAGACCACGTGCGTGCAGAAGAGTAGGAACACATCTGAGGAATAACTCACCCCTTGACACAGAAAGCAGTGGCCACACCGCTCCTGGGGTAGGAAAAGGGCTGGGGAGGACCCTGTGGTGAGGTTGTCTTCATACCGGCCAGGTTAGGGAAGAAGGCCGACCTTCTTCATCGCCCGGGAGAACCTGGCGTACATCAGGAGGTAGCCTGGCAAAGACACCCTGAGAAAGACTGGCTACAGCACAGCACCGAGGCTGCCAAGTCTACAAGCAGGGGGAGGAGGAAATTTCAACGTCTAAGCAGAAGATCTATGGATCAAACCCAGCAGCTTCGCTTTTCTTCCATGGTGTAGCCTAGAGCCATGAGAAAATGAATCTACAATAATGGGAAAGCGGAACAAAGCTGCTTTGTTGGATGTATAGAAAGACAGAGACCAAAACAAAGAATAAAAAAGTGAAGCTCCGGAGTCCTGGTACGCAAAAGCCAGGTTTCAGTGTGTGCGGTGGTACCCATACGGCACCTTATGCCCCGTGGGAGCGGAGGGGAGAAGAAAATACCCACAACTTCCTTCCTGCTCACATTCACTTTTTGAGACACATTTTACAAGAACTCAATTTACAGTCTTGTCTTTACTAACCCAGCCAAGCTAGGTACGTCAGTGGCTTAGTTCTTAAATGGAAACTGGCTGTATGCTGACTTCTTATTGAGCCTGTAGCTTAAGCAGAACTAAATTTTCAAAACACCAAATGCCTGTTTTGCTAACAAATGCATTCCCAGCTGAGAGTTACATAAAAACCCCATAATTTTCTTTTTAAATTAAAGCTATTTCCCAAAGGAAAATGAGTATTCTTTGTTCATTAAATTCAAGATATACATAATTTATTTAACAGGCTTAGCATTTAAACTATTTAGAAATTAGACAACTAAGCTACGTATCCAAGAGCCTTTTTTTCTACTACTGCCAGAATTCTTTAAAATTATTTTAAGAGCTAAAATACAAGCCTAAAACTCCACTTGGATTTTCAAATAAAGTGACATTGCAAATTTGAAATTAAGAGAAGTATTCTTTAGTAGATACACTTTTACAGAAAAACACTGTATGCGTTATACATGCTATTTGTGCTTTTGTTGTTCAGAAGTTACAAGTTAAACATATAAATAACAGGGTGACATTAAGAACTTGCATTATACAGAAGCTCGAACTAAATAATCTAATGGCTGCTTCTAGCTTTATATCCATGAAATATGTAATGAGAATAAAACCAAACTTCAAATGGAATTAAAGTTCAGAGAAAATAACCAAAGGCATAGTTCTCATTAGCTTGAATGCTCTTCGGTGCAATTTAGCTCTTCATTATTTGTTTAGCCAGAAGAAATCAGCTTAAAAGAAATTTGTGCTCCCTAAACTCACAATCACAGTCTTTAAAGATATGTGGGTGTCTGACAGCTATTGAAACAGACTGTTGGCTAACTGCTTAAATATCTTTTAAAGACTTGGGCCAGATAACTTGTGTGTGTCTTCGCCTTTTGCTGTATTTATCTATCATGTGTATCAAAATTATCACAAGTTATAGAAAATTAATTGTAAATAATGGTTTTGAAAAATACGTTGTGCAAACAGCACTGAGGTAGGGATACAAAGCATAGACTTACCTGAGACGTATCTAAACTAAGTCGGAGGCAAAGAACTTCCATTCTAGTCTCCTATTTTCACATGATCAGAACTGTTCAAAATTTTCACCCATCAGACTATTTACAGGGCTGAATTTTTCCTGAGAGTAAAATTTGCTTATATACTTTAGAAATGAGTTTAATGAAAAAAATGCACCCTCCTCTATAAAGAAAAAAAAGTATATTGCTAGGCCTATACTGATTTATTTACAAGTTGTAGCAGAGCACTGAGCATGGTTAATAGCTGCAGTTTCAGCTGCTCAGACACACACCTATAGAATTTACATACTCAGCTTTTCTCAACTTCCTGGTCCTTTAGTAGATTAATGGCCTTCATCATAGAGCAATACTTTTGACTATCTGGAAACGGAGGGGAGGGAAGTCAGCTATACGACCAAATCCTTTTAGTTAAAATCCCTTTACAGTCACAAATTGAGCCTGCATAATTTATTTTTTTTTTGGTAGGTTTGACAGCTTAGTGCTTTAAAAATTCCTGCCTATGAAGAGGATGTTGCTTGTCTAGGGGCAAAGATGAGTACAAGGCTCCAAAGGAGCTTTTGCTCTATAAATCATGTGTACACCAGACAACACAACATATATGAGCTATTGGATGATCTTCTGATTGAGATAAACAAAATTTGTGTGTGTGTATAATATACACCTACAGACACATCCCTACACATTGAGATCACAGAATATTTATTTTTCTTTAAAGAAAGCTCACTGTGAAACTTTATGAAATAATATTCTAACAGTGCAGTCATTCTTATGCTTAAATTTTTGCTTTATATGCCAGTATTTTAATTTCCCAGCATATATTTCTCTAGCACAGAATTGTTTCTGCAACCTTCAGCACAGAGATGTACCAAACAGAGAAATTTATGCCAACACTGTGCATATATCAGACAAAAATCCATAAAAAAAAAATCTTTAAAGGATGTTCTTAAGTAGCAGTTTCACTTATAATGCAATAAATTAGCGGAAAGAAAAAATAGTTTTCAGGCAGAAAGTCAAAAATGCTAAACTGAAAACAAAATTAGTCTTTGTGAAAGATTTTGCATAATTCATACGAAACCTGTTGCAGATTTCATGTATGTTCCCTATACAAAAAACAATTCTCAAACAGGAAGAGAATAGTCCAATTTACAAAATTTTTAGAGAACGGTGTATGTAAAAATGAAAAGTTAAAGGCGTTTACTGAGAACATTTTGCTACTATTTTTCAGTATTTCTTTTTGTTCAAAATATTAATCCAATTTAAGGCACATTCAAATGAGGCTGAAAAACTCACTGATAATGCAATCCTTGGTTGAGAAATTGTATGTGACATTTTAAACTTCGTGCCATAATGACTATGCAAAATGAGTAAGTAAGGTTACCAGTAGTTTAAGGTATACCATCTCCTTGACTGAAGGGCATATTGACACCATACATAGATACATGAAAGAAATTTCTTATCGGGTTAAAATCATGAGATGCTGCTAAACTAAGCACTCCGAAGTGAGGTATCTGAGGCATCTTCAGAACGTGGCATTGTCACGTTGTCTTTAATTCCATGACTATGAACTGTTTTCCCTTGTTTCCCCTGGTCCTGTTCATTGCAAAAGTTAGAAGGCAGGAAGGGAAGCACGAAACAAGACGCCTACAGCTTGTAGACATTCACACGCTGATCGGATTTAGGCTGATTTTCAGAAAAACAGCAAGAGCTATCCTGGATGACTGTTCGTCACTTCTCATCAAATTAAGATCTGTTCTTTTTTCCATACAGGCAAACATTTCTTACATAACCTTAGTTTAAAAGGTCAACTAAAATCAGTACAAAGCAAGGAGTTCACATCGAAAATGTTCAGGTTTTCCTGACAGTGGTTTAGTTTGGCAAAATCACAGCAACCAAAATTACAATCTAGACGGTTCGTCACCATCTAAGCTGCTTGTTGCAAGAGATGCAGGTAGATTCCCACAGATTCGTAGCTTTTCCTTCACATGCAAGGTAACAATTTTACTCTCATTAAAGAGAATAGCTCCTAACCTTTACCCTCATTGGAAAAAACAGCTGTTATCCTAACCTGTCTTTTGCTAATCCACTCTGCGGTAATTAAGAAAATAGGCCAATCACTATGCCGCTGTAGCGAAGTAGAAAACGCACTT